ACAGACCAAAGAAATAATACCGGTATAGGATATTACTCCTCAAGTGGAGTCAGTCTTTATTGAAGCTGTTTATATACATGATTGGGAAGGGTCAGTCCGGTGTTACACATCGGATAATGTGAAAAGCAATTATCGATATATAGAACGCGAGTAGAGCAATTTAAATATGCACCGCCACGCGCGAGTCGTTATTTACGATCTCGCTCAACTACTCGATGCTTTGGACCATGAGATAGGAAAATATGAAATAAAGTCAGTTAACCTGTAATTTCCATCAGCAACAATTCACGACAGCCGCTGGGCCAGAATGCTTGACCAGGGCGCGGTCTCCAACCTATACACATATGTGCATGCCGTCTCGCTTCCGATAAGCGCCATTCGAAATCTTCGCTTGCAAATGATTATATCCCCTCCGAAGTGAGCTTACAGCGACTGCCAGCTGCCTACATGCTTCCGTCTGGTGGAATACGTGCCGCGCTCGCTTATGTTGCCGAAGAAAATGACACCTCAAAACGGGGCAAAACGGTTCGAGCCACGAGTTTTCCATGTGTCGGGTGGCCATCTCTTCTGCCGTAGCTGCAACGTTCCAGTAGATTATATGCGCATGAGCTCTTTGTGGGTCCTTGCCCGCATCTTAGCCCGGGCAGCATATGCGGACTCGACTAGACCGCATGAATATCTGGTGACATGTTGTAGCAATGCCTCCTAGTCTCAATCTCACTCTACCGTGACATTTCTGAGCGTTGAAACCGACTCGGTGTTCTGAGGAACCTCCCTTCCGACATTTCCGCGAATTCGCAAGCGATTCGATCGATTTCCGCGATTTCCTGTATTTTTTTCCGCGACCGTCCGCGATTCCGGCCATTTTTTTCCGCGAAAAATTTACACCCCTATCTATCACTCACTCAATCTATGTATGGTTGGAACACCAAGATAGAGATGTCGATATACTATCCGAAGTAGAGTATCTCGCCCAGAAATATCGAATCGTAATCCAAAAGCAAGAAGCTTTGATTGAAAGCAATACAATTAGTTCAATGACGCCGACAATGCCCGCTGCTCACCGAGAGAAAGTTTTTTTTTCTGGATGAACCAGGAATTTCCGGACAGGTACTTCTGACCCGACCATTCAGATGCAGAATCACGACGTCTTCGATCGGCCTGGATTCAATAACGGCGGCCCCCTTTTTTCTAGTGACTTGTGTCAATTTCAAGGGCTCATGGCTCACAGTATAAATGCCAGACCTTATTGAGAAGTTCTCAACCTGGGAATCGGCGAGTGGGATTCAGCTTAGAATCTGATTCCAATGCTTTCGCTAAAGTCACTGAGAAAGGTAGCCAACCGAATCTAGTCTTATCGCATAGTCACATTGCGATGGCCGTGCTTGTGAAAGCGCGTTCAGAGTTTCTTCGTTTTTTTGACGGAAACTCGCAGTCCGAAGATTGTCAACTTCCTGGTACAGCTGGTTTCTGCATACTCATGGAATGAAAATACTGTGTTCACAATGCTCATTGATACAAATCAGGATTGGGACTGAAGCATTTTACTTATCGTCTAATCCCTGTGAGGAGCTACTCACTCAAGAGAGACGAATGGCAACGACTCTCTCGTGAACAGAAAAATGGTTTTGCACCAGAGATCGATTCTCTCTCTCTCTGTTCATGCACGCCTCTGTCTAGTTGAAAAAGCAGGGAAAGTCGAAAGATATGAACGCGGAATCATCCTCCCAGAGGAGCGATGTTGACAACTTTCCTTCCGAGGATTCTTTGGAAATATTCTCCTCGTAAGCGGAGAAATTCGACTCTATGAATATTGTTTCTCCCGTCAGGAAGTATGAAGATGTGATCTAGATTTGAAGATCAATCAGTCTTCGTCTTTCAATTTAGCCACAGGCGGAATTTAATATGGTTTCATTGTCATGAGCAGAAATGGATAGAAAACCTATTGGATTTGTTTGTACTCTTCACGGACAAATCCGAAATCTATCCGCAGCATTCGAGGCAGAAGGCAGAAACAGCCCGAAAGTGACGCTGGTTTCAATCCCGGCGCACTTTCTTAAGTTCGAACTATGTCCAAATACGCATCGTCGTCCAGTGCCGTTATAACCAAACGATAAGAGGCCATAGGGTATTTACAATACACTTGAATTTTGTATTTGTAATTGCGGAGAAAGCCCAAGAAAGAAACCGCAGAGAAAAGAAGAAAACTAAAGAAGCGATGACTAACTTTTTCGTCTCGCTGAGTACAAAGAGTTCATAAGGACTTTCCTGTGCCCGAGAGGCTCACGATGACAAGGTGTCATCATGTATTCCAGCCCCAGCACATCCTCAATCTGCATCGGGTAGAGAGCTCTCGATACCGGGAAATTCCCAAATAGCGTCGACACAATCCGCTAGGCAGAATTAGAGGAACACACAAAAATATTGCTCTGAGTCGCATGGTCAAGAACCCAAATCGCGAACTCCGCCTTAATCGAAAGAATCTATCAGTTTCACTCTTCTCCGGGAGCAACCATGTTATGCATCAACAAACAAGAATTCAGTCTAATCAGAAAGATAGACAAATCTCACTGAAGTCGATTGACTCGAAAGACCCACGATATTAATGGGCCCGGACTTCCTTTGTGACGCACAGCGTCAAATCAGTCAGAGAATATTCTCTGGATACAGGACTTGATCCACCTGAGGCATGCGAAACTATTGTATTCTGGATTCTGGACTCAATTGTACCACATGTATGGAGTGGGGAGAACGCGATATTGGTGAATGTTTCGTGATATTCAATTATCACCTCACAGATCGAATTCCCTGGAAACTCCTGAGAGTCAAAGTCGCAAGTGAAGTACTGAAGTCATTCAGCTTGGACGGCCTACAAGCAGATAGAACAAGTTGCATTGTGTCATGCAAATCGCTCTGAGCTAAACTATACAGCCAGACTTCACCGCCGCGAGCCGCCTTTCTCTTAAAAAGTTGCTCACGAAGACGGCTTGAGAGGTCAAATAAGATCGGATGGATGATGCACGGAAATCGTATATTTGAAGGCAGCATGGATTCAATCCACGGCACCCCTGATCAAGCAGTGTGCAGGCATTCAAATGAGTCTAACTCAATTTCTGCCTGGCGCGCTGAAAAACTCTACTTTCCATCCGTCATACACTCGACCGCGAAACAGCAAAGTGCTTGAAATACCTATACATATAAATTGCTCAAAATGCATTTATTTCCGAAGGAATTGGTTCGGGTACCAGTGATGACTGTTCCAACAGGAATTCACGGAGGGGATATTTTTGTCGACACAGAATCGTGTAGAGCTACAAAGCTCAGCCAGGAGATGGAACTTCATTCCTCTCGGCATCTCCATCACGGAACGGAGCAGGCTACATGAATATTCTGTAGCTTACCGATACCGTTTTTCAAACCCAGATATACAGTGGCGGTCAAAATAATAGAGCCACCTAAAAACTTCGTCTTCTTTTTTCGGAGGTCCGTAACTTTTCAGAAAATCGACCGAATCGGACGTTTTTTTTTTGAAATCGAAGAGAATTTGATGAGCTTTCCAATGAACCCGTCTATTCTGACATTTGGATGCGTTTTGAGGGACTTTCAGCCATCTCAATATCGCTTATTCTAGAAATTTTCTATCTCATTTTGAAACCCTCATAAGTCGGGACGAGGGTATCGCATCGGCTCGGTGTGGTCGGCATCTTGTAGCGCGGGAAAAGAGCTGTCGATTCGTCTATTCACTTTCGAAAATCGGTTCACCTGGAGCTGAGAAAAAGTTCGTCTGCTAAGTGGAAGTAACGGTCAAAATAATAGAGCCACCCCCCCCCCATAATAGAGCTGGAAGGCAAAAGGTCGTCTCTTTGATCCGTGCATAAGTAAAGTGGGAATGGCATGCGCATCGGAAAGCCCAAGCAATTCCGCGCTACGGAAGACGGGCTTTCCGATGCGCATGCTATTTCCAGTGTATAGGATGACGATTTTGGGGGACTCGCATGAAATCACGTCGAAAGTGCCGACGAGGGAGACGCCTGGTGTGATTTCATGCGAGTCCCCTAAAATCGTCATCCTATACACTGGAAATAGCATGCGCATCGGAAAGCCCGTCTTCCGTAGCGCGGAATTGCTTTTTTATTTTCTCAGATCGGACCAGTTTCCGTGGAGTTATGCACGGATCAAAGAGACGACCTTTTGCCTTCCAGCTCTATTATGGGGGGGGGGGGGTGGGCTCTATTATTTTGACCGTTACTTCCACATAGCAGACGAACTTTTTCTCAGCTCCAAGTGAACCGATTTTTGAAAGTGAATAGACGAATCGACAGCTCTTTTCCCGCGCTACAAGATGCCGACCACACCGAGCCGATGCGATACCCTCGTCCCGACGTTATGAGGGTTTTAAAATGAGATAGAAAAATTTCTAAAATAAGCGATATTGAGATGGCTGAAAGTCCCTCAAAACGCATTCAAATGTCAAAAAAGACGGGTTCATTGGAAAGCTCATCGAATTCTCTTCGATTTCAAAAAAAAAACGTCCGATTCGGTCGATTTTCTCGGTACAGGACAACTGGGCCAAAACCAACTGGGCCAAGAACCAACTGGGCCAAAAACCAACTGGGCAAAAAACCAACTGGGCCAAAAACCAACTGGGCCAAGAACAAATTGGGCCAAAGACCCAACAGACACGAACAGACACGATCGGAGACAATACCGAGCTCATATTGGCGACCATCGAGAGACGCCTTTAAGCTGTAAAGTGAGTTGAGGGGACTGTCGCTCGCACGGCAGCTCGCGACTTGACTTGGTCGCACGAAGATCCGACGTCGATCTCTCCCCGCTTTTGTTTGTTGTTGAAGTGAGGAGAGTATTTGTGATCGACTGGTGGACCTCCCGATAAGGATAGACTCTAGTTCCATATTGTCAAGTATGTTCGATCGACTCATCTGGGCGCAACGTGGAATAGGATAAAGATCGTCGTCAGAAAATTAAATTGTATTCGCATAATCCCAGCTGCTTCCTTTCAAAATCAACTAGTCTCTTTCTTTTCTATAATTATCACCAGCTCGATGAGAAATGGAATCCACTTCGGGCGTTACGAGTCAGAGAGGTCAGGAGAAATTGGCCCACGATGGCCATCTCTTTGTCAAAGCATACGTCCTGAAGAGCGGCTTGCAGTCTTGGCGGTGTATGTACAAAACCGCACCGATTCCATGCAAGGCGAGAGCTTATACTCTGATGAGTACGCGGGAAGTTATCCGCACAAGTGGCATCCACTCTGATCCGCCAGATCCCTCAGGTGTAGAGGTCGCCAAAATCACCTCGACGATCAAACGACGTTGCGAAGAAACAAGTGAGGCACCTTCCTCCTTGATTAACACGGCTTTGGTCACAGCGACGACGGCTACGCTCGGTCGCATGAATCGACCCCAGTCGATTTCTCGTCTCATCAATCGTCATCGGAACGCCCGCTCTGCGGCTCCATCGAATCCGGACTCTCGCGGTTCCATTGTCATACCCGAAGCGTACAGGATCTATGAGAGCGAGCCGGGCGTTTCTGAAAATTTCCTGGTGGCGGACAGCGGCGTCGGAGATCCGAATCGGATCTTGGTATTCGGCAGAGAATCGTCGAGCTCCTGGATCGGCCTCGTCGACAAATTGTATGTCGATGGAACTTTCAGTCTCGCGCCGCCGCAATTCTCACAGGTCTCTATTGGTCGATTCCAGAATGATCGAATGTCTTATTGAAACAATTTCAAGCTCCTGATTATTGAAACTCGGATTCAATTGACAGGTGTTCGTAGTTCTGGCCGAGCGAGCTCAGTGCGTTGTGCCCGTCGCCTACGCGTTGCTCCCAGACAAAGCAGCCGAATCGTACACTCGGATGCTGAATCTCTTGAAAGAGGCTTGGCCGGCCCTCTGTCCCGCCAGCGTGGTCATGGACTACGAGCGGGCCATGATGATTGCGGTCAGGGCTTGCTTCCCGCCCGAAACACGCATTCAGGGATGCTTCTTCCACTTGGTGAAGAACATCAAACTACGCGTAGCTCAGGAAGGTCTTTGGAGTCGCTATACCAACGATGACGACTTCGCACTGAAAGCCCGAATGATAGCTGCTTTGGCATTCGTTCCGCCGTCAGAGTTAGATAATGCAGTCGCGGAGCTTTCGCCTGTATTGCCGGAAGAGTTGATTCCAGTTCTCAACTATTTCGAGGACATTTACATAGGGCGTATGAACCGGATCCGAGCCGACGGTACCGTAGACCGGAGAACACCGCAGTTCCCGGTCGAGATGTGGTCAGTATACCAGAGAACGCTCGACGGAGAAGCCCGCACGAATAACTATGCGGAGGCGGCACATCGCAGACTCCAGGTTGAATTCGGGATACAGCATCCGACAATTTGGAAGTTCATCGACGGGCTTAAGAAAGTCCAAAAAGGCCGTGACCTACAAGTCGAATCATTCGTAGCCGGCGGTGCTCCTCCAACAAAAAGGACCAAGTACGTTCGTGCAGACGAGCGAATCCTGGGAGTGGTCGAGCGTGCCGAACATCTACAGCATGTAGAATACCTCCGAGGCATAGCTCACAATTTCCTCATGGACGCGTAGTTTCGCTCCCCAGTCCTCAACAGCAAGCGAACTACCACCACGGTCGTTGGTAGTTTTCGCGCAATAAAACTGGGTCGCTGGGCGAGCGAATAACCGAAGGGCCGAGAAAGACAGAGCGCTCACATGATGGCACAAAAGAGTCAAGTGTCACAGCGATTGATTTAAAGAAGACAAAACATGAGTTTTTAATTTAGGTAAAGATCACCCCTTTTTCCGAATTCCTAATCATAGTTTCCGAACAGAGGGCATTTCCAATCGAAACCTATTTCCCGGTCCGATTCAGTCTTGCCCAGTTGGTTTTGGCCCAGTTGGTTTTGGCCCAGTTCGTTCATTTGCCCAGTTGGTTTTGGCCCAGTTGGCTCATTTGCCCAGTTGATTTTGGCCCAGTTGGTTTTTGGCCCAGTTGGTTTTTGGCCCAGTTGTCCGTGTCCGCGATTTTCTGAGAAGTTACGGACCTCCGAAAAAAGAAGACGAAGTTTTTAGGTGGCTCTATTATTTTGACCGCCACTGTACGTATGATGTACCACGCTCACAACGGGCAGAGCGCAATCGACCTGATGTTCGTATCAGAAAACCTCACCCGCCGCGCAGATCTGAAAGTGCTACCCACCATCGACAGAAAACACCAACGTCTGTCCCTGCGTGTCACTCTCTCCAACCCAGGCACAAAACTCACCGGAAATCGACCGGGCCCACCACTGAGAAGGATCAGAGAGTGCGACCTCAATAAACATATCCCGGCCATCTCCCAACTCCCCGAGCACACACTCGATGAGACTTACCAACAATTCCTGGCGCTCATCGAGAAATCCACCCACGTGCAACCACTCAAAAAGCGAAAGAACAAGCCCTGGTTCGACAGCGAATGCCGGTCGCTGAAACAACTCTCGCTGAGCAAGATAGGGACGGCTGAGTACGCGACCACCCGAAGAACCTACAAAGCCGCCATCAAAGAGAAGCGGATCGAACACGAACTGAAGGAGTTCGAACGGAAGGTCAGCGTCAGCAAAACGAAACCCTGGATTCTGCTCCCACAGAGAAAAACGCCGTGCCTACCGAAGGTCGACATCCCGACTTTTGAGGAATACTACGGAAACCTGTACCTATCGACAGAAGCCGCCCCGACATTTGGACCCGCCCGGCAACACCCCGGAGGACCCGAAGACTGGTACAACGATTATATAACCAACGACGAGGTGACCGAAACCCTGAGAAGAATGAAAAGACACAAGGCAGTCGGACCAGACCGGGTCGCAATCGACATTCTAAAAGACCATGAAATCCTGACACCGCTGGTCACCAGAATGTTCAACTCAGCCCTCAACTCCGGCACAATCCCAAGCGCTTGGCGTACCGCCCACGTCAAACCGATCTTCAAAGGCAAGAGCTCCCCAGAGGACCCAAGCAACTACAGATGCATTAGCCTCGCTTCGCACACCTACAAAGCATTCACCAACACGCTAGCAAACCGCCTCACGCTCCATTGTCTACCGAAGATCTCAGATAACCAATATGGATTCCTCCCCCACCGATCCTGCGATCAAGCAATCCAGTCCCTCATAGAATACATCGACTCGAATGAAATTCCCACCTACGCTGTGTTCATCGACTTCAAAGCAGCTTTCGACAACGTCAACAGAACGAAACTCCTACAAGCTGTGGCGGAAAAATTCGACATCAGGGGGAAGATTCTCAACACGTTCCGGTCCATACTCCAACCGAACAAACTCATCATCGACAGCGGAACCGATCTCAGCGACCCGGTCACTCAGTACAAGGGTGTGGCCCAGGGCGACTCGATCTCCCCGCTGTTTTTCGTTCTATTTATCAACAGCTTGCTCACAAGACTCGAGAGGAGACAGGTCCTCGCGAAAATGTACGCCGATGACCTCGTCATTGCGTCGAGCAACGCAGAAGAGCTGCAGAGAGCACTGTCTTCCCTCTCAATTTGGTGCGAAGAGAACGAGATGATCATCAACACGGGAAAAACCAAAGCAATGAAATTCCGAAAAGCAGGTGCGACAGGGAACACCAAACTGTACATAAACAGAACCCCGATACAGCTCGTACAAAGCTTC